CATTGGGTCTTGGTGTGTTTGGACTTTCACATTATGAGATTTGACTGAACGATCAGCCGGTATTTCCTAGTCAAATAAGTAGTGATCAGTGCTTCTTCTACCGCTTGTGAGAACTTCCATGGGAAGATCCTATAGGTTTCAATAACTGCTTTGTTCAGGTGGAGCTGAGGCGTCACGAAAGTCGCTCGAATACTTGTTGCAAAATCCTGGTAAAGGTACGTTCGAAGGCGTAGATGGCAAAACCTCTCCTGTCTAAGATGGTTTTCGAATATTAAATATTGAATATTGAATAATTTTATTTTCAATATTTCAAATTTTGTCCTCGCCTAGGTCGAGCAATCGCCATCGTCTTGGGAGGAGCGACAGAGGCACTGGACGCCCATCCTGGAACACACGATCTCAATTTGTCTTCTCGTCGAGGATTTTGTCGTTATGCCCTTAAATATGGGTAAGAGTGCATATGTGGCTTTACTTCCTCCCCTTCCGTCCCATACCCCCCCCCCTGAAGGTAGTCAGGTGCTGCCCCCACCAATAAGGTTCATAGAGCAACCCCCCTCCCAAGGTATTTCCACTGCAAGAAACTAATCTTTTCTGGTCAGTTTTTATGATAGACTCGACAAGGAGGCTTTTGCGGTGACACGAACATAGACTGCCCTTTCAAAGCATTATATGACCCTAGTACGCCTTCTGGCACTAACAATTTCGAGTGATATTCGAAAGTGTGGCGCATCGTGAAGAATAAAACGGAGACCCACCAGTCTGACCAGCTCTACGCTCTTTTCCACCTTGTTCATCCAGTCTTTAAGGTCCTTCTTCTTTAGTGCAGATCTTGTGCCGATGTACCACTTCGGCGAGAACGACGTCTTTGACCGCTGGGAAGGATACACACGTGGTACTCGCCTGAGGGAAATTCAGGTAACTTTGTAACCTATTCGGGGCCTGACATTGAAGTCTTCAGCATTTCAGACGTGGATCAAGAACAAATTCGGATTTTGTCCACCATTGGTAAAAGGTCGTGGCATATTCAATTATAGCTTGGGCATGCTTCCACATCGTAGACCCATCACGACAGTCATTGGAGCACCAATCAAGTATGAGAATTCAGTTTTTAATGAATAGCCAGGAAGAAGATGTGCATACGCATGTCGCAGTGTATTGGTTTGTCCAGAAATTCCTTCGATAATCTGGAGAAACTCCTTCAGAGAGTAATCCAACTGTTTAGAATCGTACTGTCTTTTGTGACGGTAGCCTGTCCTCGGGAGCCCCACTCAAACCTCACCTATGGGTAAGGGGTTTTGGGGAGATGCGGTTTTAGGTTTGGAGCTTAACTACGCTCCAGCGCACCTTTCCCCGCCATAAAGGTGTCCCTTGCTTCCTTCCAAGACATCAAATACAGTCGCGAAGTACTTCTCCCATCTGTTTTTGGTACCCTTTACTTTCGAAGGAGAATTCCGCGTTAAGGTGGAAGGTCGAAGAAGGAGAATTTCTCCTAGTGAGAAGGCAGGCGGACCTCTGAGAGTGTGGACCGACACGCACATCGCAGCGAAGGATATGCCTCCGGCGATCTAGCGTGCAACCCTCACCGGCTGGTACCCCTGTCGTAGATGTCTCTAGCCGGTCAGAGAGAGATTAACATCTGGAGGAGGACAGCACCTGAGAGTCGAATCAATGCGGACAGTCGAGAAAGTGGTCCCGTTACGCCTTCTAGGACGATTTGTCTTATTTTTCTTTTCCTTCCATCACTACCACCACATCTACCTTAGTTTTATCTACCTTAGAGTCTAGTTACCGAAGATGTCCATGGTGTTCTATTCGCACATCTTTGCCAGCCTTTTCACTTTATGGGGAGGGAGGGGCGAAGGCAAATATGTCCAGGCTGATATGTTGGTTGGCAAAACAGATTGATCTTAGCCCCATTATCAGCTAAAGTACGGGCCAAACTTGTCCTTTGTCCTCTCTTTCGCCACAAGGAGAAAAGGATTCTACAAGAGGAATAAAATGAATAGTTCACTTCAAAAGGTTTGAACCTTGTTATCTAGTCTGCTCTCCATACGTTTACCTTCAGAGTTACACAAATTGAGGGGCTGAGACTATAATCCACAGGAACAAGAAATAGACGTAGCTTCACGGCAAGGGTACTGCAGAAAACCTTGTTGATCTGTTTGAGCAGCATAAAAGCCTACATGACATTCCAAAGGATGTTCATCTGACTATACATTGATATTTTGCGCAATATTTGTATACAGAGTTTATAGTGCATGTGATGATATTTTATCGTATAACTTCGTATATAATTAAAAATTTATTTTTAAGATTTGGTTGAGCTCACGATTCAGTTTCAGTTTTGGTTATCAATTTGGTTTCGATTAATTGATGAGTCAAGATTCGGATGGTATTACATCCTTCCAAAAACAGACAATAGTCGGAGGCAGATACCACACTAATCACGACGGCCTCCGCAAAATGTAAATGTCTTCTGCCAATAAAATGACTAGCTGGCTGCACTTGTATTTTATCACTTATCAGTTGTTCCGAATTACAACAGTCATTTGCAAACTATCCATTCTCACGATGAACCACAAAATTACACGAATTTAATACTTAGGCCGAACGTCACTTGTTTATGTAGTCTGAACTCGACAGATCTGATTGGGAAACAGTATGGTCCTTGGCTTGGCTCTGAATCGCACGTGGTGACTTGTTTTATACGGCGGTGTTTCAAAATTGTCCTGAAAACGGTTTAATGTTCACTTGGCTGTTGCGAACCGCCTTCACATACCGAAACTCGTCAGGGCATCAGTTTCGAAGTCGTACAGAGATATTGAGGGTTTCCCCAATCATTCAGTGCACTAGCATACATTAAACGGCTATGCTCAGGGCTAGTCTGAAGTAAGAATTCAAACTGGTCTGACAGACAGATCTGAATGGGAATCAAAATGCACGGCGCAGACCGCAAACATTGACCAACTCTGTCCACCATTTCCCATATTTTTTGAGTTTCGTTCCAAAGCTAAAAAAAAAGAATTGAGTGACACTTGTATCACTCGCATCAGTGACGTCGTGAGGGAGGAGAGGAAGTTATTCCAGGACGGGAATCTCTAGCGTCAGCGTGCTTAGTACTCTGCCTTTGATTACAAGGCTCTGAAGCTCCGCCCACGCAGGTGGTTCTCCTTGATTCGATCTGGCGACTCATTGTCAGCGAACATCTTCACTCATTTTTTGATCTGTAGGTTGTTTTAGAATCGAAGTCGGAAGTTTTGCGGTCAGCACTGTCCATTTCGGTGCCGTACCCATAACTGGTAGATGTCGGTCAGACTCTGCGATTGCAGCGTGCGATGTAGTCGCTCTACCTAGAGCGATTGGCATCGCTCCAAAGTGCGACGGGAGATTTGCCCGAGCGGCGCCGTGTGTATCGGTCGTCGGCGGGTAAATCTCCCGTCGCTCGCACTTTGGAGCGATGCCAATCGCTCTAGGCAGAGCGACTGCATCGCGCGATGCAATCGCAGAGTCTGACCGACATCTAAGCGAGGCTCCGTTTGATCCATGTGTGCTTTGTTCTGGCTCATCCCCACCAGACCCTCGCGTCGAGCCTTTCTCAAGGAGCGGGGCAGCGGAGGATGGCCGCATAAATCTTTGCGCCCCTACTCCGTAGGTCGATGACGCGATCTCATAGACAAGGATATAGGAGGGATAGAGCTCTGTAGTGTTTGAAGATTGCCCTGCTGGGCCTTGCCTTGCAAACGGCCCCAGGTGATTACTTGGTTGAGACGGATTAGGATGGGGCACGAGTAACAAACAGGCAAGTTGTTAATTCATTTAGATATATAATGCCATGTATAATCGAGACGTCCTCAAAATGGTCGCCAGACGGTGGGGATTAGAGTGCTAGCGACCATTGACAAGTTGCAGCCAAAAATTTAATTTATTGATCCATTTTTGTTGGCTTATGGAACTTTCTTGGAGGTTATGCGCAGAATTCCGCTAAATTTGAAGCATCTGAAGTACGTACTGGTTGCCAGGGATGACGGGATCGAATCAGTATTCTCGCGGCAACTCGTAACGTATAATGTATGCTATACGAAGTTATTACGAGGCTTTGGTGACTTTGACGATGTACCCGATCACTTACCGCGCATGTTCAATGAGTCGACTCTTCCTAGTATGCCATCTTCGCCGCATTTCCTCTTTATTACCGCTTTATGTCGTCGGTCTATTTTTTAATAGATTGCTTCGTCGAACTATCTAGAGCAAGGTTAACTTGCGCGCAGGGCAACGTACCCTACCTGACCATGCATCGCTTATGCCCCAAAAACCACTCTGTTTGGTAAGCCGAAAGAGAACAATGTTTTTCTTTCAGCCTGAAGTGTTACCATAATCTAATGCAATGGGTAGGACACAAGTTATTCGATGATGCTAGTACAATACTCTCACGCAGGTTGCTTGTCAGACTTGGGTCGCAAAGGCAGGTCCTCCGCTCAGGGCGCGCCAAGGAGTTGGGGGACGAAAATCCCTTTAAATTTATTCGTTTACCGATATAGATTTCTTCATTTCAGTTGCGATTTGCCTTAAAGGACGAATTCACGATGAAAAAGCAACCCATTTCAAATTAACCTAGGGATGGTGAGTGGTACACGAAAGAAGGAAGAACCATGAGAAACGGCCCAGAACCCGAGAAATGGTACCCCTTCCTTGCCCGTTGATTCGAGCATTGATGCGACTCTCATCGCTGTGCCCTCTTCAACACTACGCTCTCTCAGCTATCTAATCACTCGCCACGTATTGAACTACGGCGAGTGATCAGATGATCGGTGGGCGGAGATCGCCGGACCCGCCAGCTTTGAGGCATGATAGGTCGCCGAGGTCAAATTTTTCCATGCGAATTGCGCGTCAGTTCGCACCCTCAGGAGGTCCGTGGGTCCCTCAACTAGGTCAGTTTCCCTTTCTTCGACCTTCATTCTAATCGTGAAATTCCTCCTTTAACTAATACATTATTGCATGTAGGCCCCTTTATCAGGACAATCCAGTTGGAAAACCTAAGCAAAATTTGAAGGGATTTCAAGTTCCCCGACCACTTCGAGGAATTGAATCCTGGCCCAAGTGATAATACACAGACTTTTCTGCCATAGGTCCACAGGAGCTACAGCCACACTTGATCTACCGACAACGTGAAATTAGTTCAGTGCTGTCGATCCCGAAGGCACCGTGTGGCAGAACCCGGTGATCTTCCATAAGATCCCGAGATTTTTCAGTTCTACCCATGCCGCTGAATCACTACTATGCAGTGGAGGAGCGCAGGTTGTGGAAACCGTACGCCATCGCGTAAGGCTAATGTCAGAGTCCGCGATCCATCGCGCGATCCGCGCGAATCGTGCCGCGGGTCATGGAAATACAAGTGCACCGATCAATACTGCGAGTTGCTTGCAAGCCCTCGACGTATTTGTGCTGGTGTTGACGTCTGACAGAAACGACTATTATGATTCATTTGTTGTATAGTACAATTTCATGGTCAAGTGGGCACTTGCGTTTTGCGATCTCGCGCGACGGGTCGCGAACATTTGCACAGCGCCTAATGTTTGGTAAGCCGCGCCCTTGTCGCACCCATTCCAATCCGAAAGATACAGGACTCCGCAACTCAAGTGGATTCGTCGAAAACTGCGTCGAGGATGATCATGTCGAACTCATCGTGGGTGTGGAAGCGGGCGATAGTAAGCAAATCGCTGTTGTCGGCAGTTTTGTGGAGTCTTCAAAATACACGAGTTTAAAGTGGTTCCATCGACCAAAATCATCATCAGCATACGGCACTCAGTCAGAAACACCAAGAGCGGCTGGTTTGCTTATTCTAGAAGCGACACCTACACATTCCAAAACATAGGATGTATACACCAAGCTCAAAACGACATTGGAAGCTCTCATGCAAAGTGATTTATGTCTTTGGCATGCCCAGTAGACTTCTCAGTTTCAACAATTGAGCCAGACTATTTGTTGTCGAATGTGGGGCCTCAAAGCAATACAATCCGCCACATAAAAAAATCGGATCTCTATGAGCACATTGTGGAAGATTACAAGATAAGCTTGGAGACACCTCGATGCCTGTCGCGATAGCTCCCTCTCCAAGTTGCTCGAAGTTATACATGGCAAATATGTAGTTTATTTTTCACTTAAACAATGCAATATGTGAATCAAGAAGCTTCATGATTCGATCTCATGAGACATTCGTCAATTCAGGTTTTCATATAGGCGATTATTTACTGTCCACTCGTGAAAACACCAGACTGATAAAATTGATGTGGTGGTCAATATATCTGTCCATAGACACTCACTATGTGACGTGTGATGTAGAAAGGTAACGGTGTAAATGGTTAGAGAAACTCACCGCAAAAATAACGTAGCGACTGGTTAAATTAGTCATATCCCGATGAGACAAGAGTAACGCAAACGCCTAGAAAAGCCACCGTCAGACTCCACACTGCGGATCAGACGCCCGTGCAATAGGCGCTCCAGTGATAAGACCGCAACGCAGTCGTGCGCAGTCAAAGGCAGATTTTCTGCATATTTTGTGTAAGCAGCATTGCGTAATATTGTATTTAAACATTACATTGAAACTTTAAAGGCTCCTTGTCGGTTTATTTGACAAAACGACGATAAGAATGGCTTGCTGTCTCCTGAGGAAGTAAAGGTTAGGTGGGCAATTCTTTTTCGAGCTGTTATACCATTATTCAGATTCTTTCTTAATGAAGCCCCATGTTTTCAGGACACCCATCCGTACGGGTGGCATATGTCTCTAGCAACAGGAAGAGGCCGAATTCGAAGAGAAGGAATCAGATTAATAATGGAAGTGGGGACTGGAGTGAGAGCGTGAAGTCTTAGATTTTGTTTTTCATTGTGTTTCCGAGTTTACCTATATTACACCCATTTTGCTTCACTTTTCGTTCTTATTCAATGGCGTGGGTTCCCTATAATATGCCGTCGTTATAAAGTAAAGTCGTTATACGACTCGACAATCAGTCGTTTGCTTACAAAGGGGATGATAGAAAGCGACGAGAACACAGAGTAGAGGCATTTATTCCGTAAGAAGTCCTCTGGTGGTGTAGTGTCCTTCGCGAAAGTTTAAATATTGAATTGGCGTTAAAAATTCAAGAAAAAAATCCTCAGATTGAATTTCAAGACTTGAAGAAGACCATGAAGGTGTGGAGCTGCTAGGACACTCCGACTTCGGGGATGCGTTCCCTGCAAGACCACTTCATCACACGTCCCCAAAGCAGAAACGAAACTAGCGGCGCATAATCTGTCAAAATTTGAAAGTATCTTGCCAAAGTGTTGCTTCGTAGGTGATATCATGACTTTTCAGCAAAGCTTGGCCTACTATAGGAACCGCTTCAATCTATTTCCACCGGTTCTATATGTTTCATACATTGCAGGAGTTCCCGCGTGAAGTAAGTCAACTGATTTTTTTAACCTTTCACTCCAACGTTATGTCTATGTAAGAACTTACAGATTGTCGCGATGGGTTGTCCTATTCCTTGCTGGCAAAGTGTCGGAGACTCCAAAAAAGTGCAAGGATATCGTAACTGCCGCTCAAAACGTCTTCCCTACAGTGTACGGGAATAAAAATAGAAACACTTTTGTTGTGAGTTTGTCATCGCAGTTCCTTATTTTCAGGCATAGATTCACTGAAAGCTTTTCTTTCAGGACGAAATTATGGGTATCGAGCGTGTCCTCTTGCAGACAATGAAATTCGACCTCCAAGTTGACTTACCTTATCAATATCTCATAGATTATTCCAAGAAGTTCAAGCTCACTAAAACAGAGGTGGAAACTACACAGATTCTTCAGTGCATTCTTAGTAATATGTAAGGGTATACTTTCAGATCAATTCCCTAGTTCACACGTCATGGACTTTTGTAAACGATAGTGCTTTTACGACATTGTGCCTGATTTGGGAGCCACAGGTGAGTCTAAGTTGTTCTACAGACATCGTTTCCTAATTTTCTTATGTAGTGCCATATTTTTTTATTTGAAGGTGATCGCTGTTGCCCTTCTCCACCTTGCGATATAGCAAATTTGTCAAACAGCCTTATAGATGATATATGTCATAAGGTATCCGTTTTTCATTCTATGACACATGCTTTGTATAGTGTTTTTTTATTTTTATTTTTTTGCCTTCGATAAGATTTTTATTTGTCATTTGACGGCAACAATGCTTCAGGTGCTGGACTTCTACTCCATATCGAAAGAAGAAAAAATGGATTTCATGCCACCACGTCCCTTTATTCTTGGTCAAACCCCCATCATGCCCGCAAATACTGGGACATCTTCTTGATTTTATTTCCGGTAACCCATTTTTGCGTGACCTCCCCTGTTCCATCGTTCTACTTTTTTCTTTCACTCCGCATGGAGAACACCTGTATTTATGTCAACTTCTTTAATGCTGGCCACGCTGGAGTGCTTTGTTTGTAAATGGAGCAGGAAATCACTCGTTCTGACCCTTGGCTTGTCATGCGATGTAAATCAATTCTCATTTCCTTCTCCTCGTTCCACATCGCTTGAAAAGTTTCAATGTAAGTGGCTCTTCGACAGCAGTGTTAAGTGGGGTGTCTTCGATGGCACTACTTTCCCACTTTGGCGCATAGTGATAGTGTGTCAGTGTTCATTCTTGCGCTACGGTTATGTACAAATTTGAATTACCATTGGGTTCTTCAAAAGAGAAATCGTGTGATCTATTGTTGAAAGATTTCATGAAGCAGAGTTTCTCGACCGTTGTACAGCCCGTATAGGTTTATTCTGTATAGCCAGGACCACCCACACAACTACTTATCACTTTGGGGCAGTCACGTCCTTGTTTAGGGAGGAGCCATCGAATCTACCCAGCATTGTAACCCTTTTTGCTTATTAAGTGACTCTTCCCGTGAACCATTTGGCAACGACTACAGATCCTATTCGGCCGCTGAACGCAAAAGTGAGTTTTTTTGGGTGCTAACTTTAGTTGGGGGGGGGGCCACGCGGCGGCGCGGCAGTCTGCTCGCCTGGCATGTTCGGAAATCCGTGGGCCAGGGGGAGTGTAGCCAATCTAGGGGGGTTGGGGGGTGGGGCAGTCACTTGACATGCGTGAAAAGCTGGAATGTTCGAGTTTACACTGTCTCGTTCGAGAGAGCCCAGGTGAGCAGACTGCCGCGCCGCCGCGTGCCCCCCCCCCAACTAAGTTAGCACCGTTTTTGTTTTTCGTTGTTCTTCCCAAAGGGCGTATTGCTCAGTGCAGTGCTAAATTGACGAAACGTTCAATTGCATCTCCAGATCGATGTACATGAAGCTGTTTCAAAGAAAAGGGAACCAAAAATCATTAACTGCAGCTTAGGGGCTGTTACGCTAGCTACACTTTATATGAGGTTCAATCCCTTATTATCTCTAGATTAAATGTGGGATGCAAATGGATAGAACTCATTGATTCCTATAGCTTAGATAATATTTTTAGGAACAAGGGTTTATATTAGCTCAATGTCTGCTCCGACTTTTGCAGCCTCTAACGTGCCTCCTCGCAGTCGTCTTTTTCTTGAGTGGTGCCATACAGTTGTTTTCATGTAGAAACTCGGCGGCCACATTTACAGCAGTTTGCCTCCTGCGTTTTTCATTCAAGTTTGTTTGTTTTGTTTTCAAAGTTTTTACTAAGTCAACTGGTAAAATTGAATTGGCACCATCGGATGTATTACGCCACCAAAAACTCTCATGATTTTACAAGGGTGTGGTTCATAGGACAGAAAGCGAATTTTTCGCGTTTCGCAGCGCGAAACATTGTTCGTTGCGGGAATTTCGAGTCCACTGACGATTCGCTGTGGGAACCTCGGGTCCACTGATGATCAGCGGTGGACCTGAGGGTTCCGCAGCGTAAAATGTTTCCCGCTGCGGGAACGCGAAAAAGCCGCTTTCTGTCTTAGTGAACCACACCCAATATCGGCCGTAATGCAGCAGTTTTTATACTTTCGTCGAACATTTTCTGAGAAGGCAATGAAATGTGAAGGGTTTGGATCATTCAATCATCATGTATCCACCTTACCAGAAAATGGGGGAACGGGGGATTTCACCCATTTCCCCCTTTTGTGTGTGTCCTTAGACGGAAACTAAACGGATACGTATGCTTTGTACTCATTATTAAAAGGTGTGCCAAAACTGGGCATCCGTAGATCTACCGGAACATAGTCAACTCTTGACTATAAATGCCGTCATTTATCATTCTGTGAGGTCTATTCCAGTTAGGGGGGCATCATGGTGCGGTGACTCCCAAAAAGCTACGGTAACTCTGAGCCAGGGGGAGTGTAGCCAGCCTAGGGGGTGGTGGGGGGGGTGAAGGGCAGTCACTTGACATGCGTGAGAAGCTGGAATGTTCGAGTTTACATTAGCTCGCCGAGAAACTGCATCATGATGCCCCCCTAACTGGAATAGACCCTTCTGTTGGTTTCCGCTGTTTTGTATCGTTACTCATTTGCCGTGACCTTATTTTTATGATTTTTTGTTATTAAATTCGAGCTTCTATATCTATTTGGTGAATGGGCCAATTCACAAAGGTCACAGTCAACGCTTGGCAGCGAGTTCAGTTTTTTGTTCCCCGCCAAGTTAGAACGATTCGTTCATTGTTTGCTCCATGATTCAGACGTTCCTTGAGGCTACTTTAACTCTGTGACTAGTAATCCTGCACTACAAATCACAAACCGATCTTCCGTTATGCTATTTTCATTAATAAAGAGCCTCATATTTCAAATCATACTGTCGATACTCACCATAGCATTTTATACAAGTTTTCGTTCTCAGAATTTGCTCTTCTTCACGGCCTGTTAGTTTTTTTTTTTACTTACCTGTCGATAAGGGATGGAATGCACTCCTCCGCAATGATTCTTTGACCTTTGGATTTTCGCGATTCTCCCAGGAACTCGCCCTCTTTGGGCAACCCATTACCAAGTATACTTGCCAGGGCAATAATTTCCTCCTTTTAGTACTTTCTTACAAGAACATCGCTTTAACTATTTTTTGAAATGACCAATTCACTCAATATTTTTCACGGTGCCTTCCATTTTTGCTTGATGCAATCATTTGATTGTTTTCACTGTTTTTTGCATAGGTGACAGCAGAAGGAAATCCTTCGTATTGCAAATAAGGGAAAAGTAAGGTGACAGCAGAAGGAAATCCTCTTTGTTTTTGAAATAAGGGCAAGTAGCCACAAAAAACAATGAGCGCAAGCTGCCAACTCGGACAAGATGGGTTAAAGGCCATACTGGTTGAAAAAACCTTCAGACCGCGTTCATGGTTGGCGTGTTCGCAGAATAGTAGGCGTCAATGAAAGATGATAATCCTGGAAATCCAATCGTCTACCGTACCTAATTATTCAACGCGTGTTGGCGTGCGTCCAAGAACTTTCGAGTCTATATTTCGGCATAAAACGAAAATGATGCTGCTTCTCATCCGGTACCACCGCTAGGAACGAGTCATTTTTGGGAAACCGTGTAGCCGAATTGGGAAAGATTAGTTTTTCTATCATGTATGCTATTGCCCTGCTGTTTTTCCTTCATGCTGTGTTTGGCGATAAGAGAGCTCATAAAAGAAAGCCAACGTAAGGAGAATGCAGACAGCCACTAAGAGGCAGAGGTTAAAAAAGGCTGTCCTTGCTCTGGTCGGCTAGGCAACATCTATGGCAAAAAACGACCTGGTTTAGACAGCGAATTCTAGTTATATACGTTGTTTTCTTTTCGTTCCACGTAATGCATCAAAACGCTTAAGCGCACGTCAGACGGTATCCGCTGAGAGCAGGTTTTCGAAGAAGAATTTTTGGTTTTTGTGTGCAGCTTGGTAGATTTAGGTGGTTTTCTTAGGTAACGGCGATGGGAAAGCAAAGGAAGGCGTCACAACCTGTTTCGTGTTCCATATCCTACAAAATCTCTGGCAAAGTTTTCAGACCACGTATTCTACTCAATTTTGCGCAATTTCATGACGTGGTAATCGATCCTTGTTTTCTTTTTGCTTTCAAACTGTCTGTTCCAATGCGCAATAGTGATAGTTTCCCTTTGGTCGCCACCTAGGAAGAAAAATGAAAACAGTTCCACCAACCAGCATTCAAAGCAAAGAAGCACGATCTCAGTGCAGGTTATGCGGGACCGTGTGGAAGAACAGTACGTGTTTTGGTCAATTTGTGGTGTAGTTCTCGATGATCTCACTTTCCGTTAGCAATGTCGAAATAACTTGGTTTAGGAAAATGCGCACATTTTCTTCATTTCATTTTGTCTGCATATTTCGAATAATGGTATGTTCGTTTTGAAACTCGCCATTTAGGGTACGGATGCGTGATCGTAGCGCGTCTTCCTTACGCACTGCTGCATCTGCAGCTATTGCTCCTCATCGTATTCCTCTGTTTCGCACAATGTATATCGTAGCAGGAACTATGATATTCTTTTTCCTGAATCTTTACTTTATATACATGTATGTACAAAATCAATCGGAGGACACGCTTGAGAAGGCATTAGAAGTGCAGCATCGGTTGCAACAAAAGGATCAGGTAAGTCACACCGATACGAATCTGTTTTGTGCTGTGGTGATTGTCAACGATAATTAGGGAGGAAGGGATAGAGAGAGGTCATGTTCATGCAGCATTATGCTAGCATTGTTTATAGTGTTCTGATTTTTGAGTGCTGTTTTTGGCCGCAGTTCGCCATGCGAACTTCACTGCGAGTGATGCGCTGTGAGTTCTATTAATATGCAAAAACAGTTCGGCCATGCAAGCGACTCGAATCAACATTTCTCGCGCACAGGGCAGAGTGGTGCTTGCCAGCAGCATCTAGCGATTCGCGATTCACTAGCGATGCGACTAACCAGCTTACCGCGATAGTCGTTTGTGTTGATACGCTGTGGTAACAAAGTCATCAAGACTTGAGTTAAGGTGAAATGATGCCCGGTAGTATTACTGGTAGCACACCTGCCCGGTACGCGAGACGTGTGGGTTGGGTTCCGCCTGAGCAGAGTGTTTTGCCCATAACTGAGCATGCTTGTGATAACTCCCAGTGTTGTTATTCGTCTTCAATTGATGCATTGCGATTTCTTTTCAATGGCATTCACTTCAGCTCCATCCAGGTGCCACACCGCCTAACACCAATTGGTACTCATGTAACGTCACTGATCCACTGGCTGTTAGTGCTCTAGCACGAGCCAAGACAGAATCGTGCATAAGAAAGGTGGGTTCCACATTCCTCAAGAGAATAGTTGGGCTCTATGTTCTCGAAAGCTCTATGTTGTACTGCTGTGTATAGCCTAGGCTTTTCTGAAGTACCGGTTCTACATAGCTTATCATAAGGGTCGTTATTCTGAATGCCACAGTACCTGGTTCTAGATTACCGATGCTGCCTGTAGATTGAAAAACGGTGCCTTCCATGACCAGTTCCCTGAAAGCCAATGTGGAAACCACGGTTCGTTATGCTGCTATCTGAATTTATTTCGTGAATTAGTTCAGTGCTTGCAGAAAATTTTCTTTCACTTTCATATCATGTGATTTTCCATTCCCTCGACTTGTTTTTTTCTTCCTTTCAGTCTGATTTTTTTCAGACTCTTCACTGATTAATATGCGGGTTGGATGTTTCAAGGACCACAAAAATAACCGAACTTTAAATGGGTTTTCATACGAGTTCAAGAGTGATAATTCCGCGGAGAAATGCCGGTCGTTTTGCTACAGAGCCGGTTTCGTTTATTACGGTAAGAAAACTGTCATTACCGTCCTCCGCGTTATCTTTCAACGATTCTTCGTATCTACGCATTTGTTCTGACGTAGCAATTTGATGGTAATGTGTTCGTTGATGCACATTCATCATCTTCTTTCGGATCTTGAAATCTAAAGATTTGAAAGATTGCACAAACATCGCATGGGGAAGTGTGGGTTGGTATCTAACTTTCGTCACTATAGAGATCGTTCAGAATTTTGATCAGATCATCGTCCCTAACACTATAGGATATGTACCGTTGATCAATCCCATGCTTCCTCCCCACCCGAATCTGCGGTGAATTTTCTATGCACCTTTTTCACCTTAACTGTCCACGTTTTTAGAAGTCAATCTATAGGGCGTCGGCAACGGTCAAATAGATTGGGAAAGTAAAATTCTTAGGCCATCTACGGACTCCGTAACGCAGACTCTTTGCCTGTGGAAAGGAAATCATGTGCTGATCAAACATTTCTCTTTTGTTTAGTTATTCTCCTGTTTTTCAGGGTTAGAATTTGGTCGCGAATGCTTTTGTGGAGATTCAATACCAAGCAAGCCTATCAGCCAAGAGCGATGTAGCGAATACAAATGTAGCGGAAATACTTCTCAAACATGTGGAGGATTCAACGCTCTTGAGGTCTTTCACACGGGTTTGAAAAGTGAGTTCAGTGTGCTCGATCACTAATGTTCTTGTAGTTGACTAGAATTGCGCTTTATAGTACAAATAGGTTCTGTCTCCGGATGTTTCAGGGATTCCATCATTTTTTCTATGAGTCTCTTCTTCGCTGCTTTGCTTGTCCGAAATTTACTTAATGACTGAGAACTTTGTTTTTGTCAGTAGCGCGTAGGATGAGAGTATCCGCTTTTCTAGTTGCTTTTGCAGACGAAAAAGTATGCATGTCCGCCTTTCATATTCTTTTGCTCTCTAAGCCGTGAAATCGTGTGGTAATTTCTATTCTTGGCTATTTCAGGAGCTCATCTAATGCCTAAAGCGATTTTCGAAACAAATTCCGATATTGATTCGAAGAGGCCTCGTATCTTATTTTTATTGCAGCTGAATGGTAGAAATGAGCGTCAGGTTTGTTCCTCTCTTTGCCTTTCTCTGAAGCTTCGTTTTTTTTATGATAAATTGTAGGTCAAGAGACTTCTCAAAGCGCTTTATTCTCCTTTTCATTACTACTATATCCACGTTGACAAGCGTCAGCTTTACATGCTCACAGGTTCGGTCAAAGTCAATACCCTTCAAAAATCACTCGTGAACGTTCTTGAAAAATCAGTTCATTTTCAGAAATGAAAGCTGTCGCTGCAAAGTTGTCGAATGTGTTCGTGGCGCCGGATGCTCATAGCACTATTTGGGGTGGCGCTTCTTTATTGACCATGGTGCAAGGTACGAAATGTTTAGCTATTGAAATGAAATGAAGTGAAGATTTGAAGTCGAGTTCCAGATGTGAATATAATTCATTTATTTAGATACTATTCGTCGTTCCATTGTCACGCCATCACTCTCTGATTGGGACTACCTCATCAATCTATCGGAAAGTGATTTTCCTGTCATGACTCTCAATGAGTTTGAAACGCAGCTTCGCGCGTGAGTTTTATTTTATAGGAATAACGCAGGATTGAAGTGCCACATCTGCCGCAGCTAATTCTTGCTTGATCCAATCGAATACCAACTTTGATATGGCTTATTGAAAGTCTCAGACATGGTATGGCAAAGATTTCTTGCAAAATTGCCCAAATTCCCGGTGCTGCCTTCATTTTTCCCCCGAAAACGGGGCTACATAATTGGCAGCGAAATATTTCATGTTGAATAAGTGTGTGTTCATCTTCAAATTATCACAATTCTTCATTGTTGCCAGAAATGCTGGAATGTCTTACATGAGCAGTCATGGTTACAATACGGGGCGATTCATTCAAAAACAAGGATTTGACTTCGTTTTCGTAGAATGCGAGAACCGTATGTGGAGAATCGGCAAAAGGTCTCTTTTTGCCTTGAAAATATTCATTCTAAAAAAATTGCAAACACAATTCTATATGCTGTTGGAGCAAGCAATGATCATGCGTTTCCCTCAAACATAACGCTGACTCCATTTTGTTGCAGAGGGCGAGTTTCCGCGTAATCTTCGTGTCGACGGTGGTTCTGACTGGATAATTCTTCACAGAGATTTCGCAGAATATTCAATATCTGACGACGAGCTACCTGCTAAGTTACGGACTTTGTTCTCTACGATTATCCTGCCAGTGGAGAGCTTTTTCCATACGGTAAGCTCTTGAGAATTGAATAGGTCTTCACATTTATGCGATCTTCACCAAACTATTCAAACTTGTCGATGTTGATGTTCGTGATTGGCGTGGGCACTATAATGGAACCTCCTGTTTCTCCCATGTCTAGGGTGAAAAGTCCATATTTTGTGCTTTCAACTTCCGCTTTTCCCGTTGCCCGTTTGCAAGTTGTTCTGATAGGCATCAGGTACTTACGCGAAATGGCCTTCGCGAAAAGCTCTTGGGAGGCACTTCACTCATGGCGGAGCTAATTCGCCGCTTACGGCGTGTACTAGAACGGACAGTAGCACCCGTCCTTGTCACCTTTCATAACTATCATAGATCACCTCTGAAATTGCATAACTTCTGATCAATCCCTCGCCGTTTGATTTGTTACCTTATCTCAATGATAAATTTGCAGCCTGCAGTCTGCATATGCAGATTTTTCGCCAATCATTGTAGTCGTAAGCGTTCAGCTGCCTGCAAGAGTCCAGAATGATTTCTTCAGCCCTGTGGATTCACAGTTGAAATCACAATTGCCTTTGCCCGAACTTTATTCTGTAGTGTAGCACATGTTTTCTGCGATGATGTGCGTAGTGCTGCGCTCGACTATTCAAAATCCTGACATTTTAAATTTTGCACAGACGTTTTCCTAAACACTTCTCACTTTATGAACATTTTAGCTGTCGTACAATTCCCGCTTTTGTGAAAGCATCATTGGCAGTAATTTGCGACTCACAAACTTGGAATCGAAAACAAGGTGCGACTTTTCTTTTCTGTTAATGTTTTGACTAGAAGCTATTAAGTCAATGGTTTGCCATTATGCGAAATACACCCAACTAAAGGACGTGGAGATGGTGTAGCTGCAAGTGGCATCGCGTAGTACGTGTTCATTTTTTGCTGTGATCAAACGAACCTCCTTGTGAGGGGCTAACTGAGATCGATAGTCTTCGCTCCCTCAGCTTTTGTTCCTTTTCAAATGTGAGAGCTAGAACATTAACATATATGCCTGGTGTCTATGTTTTGGACAGACCAAATTCCTTTCACATGCTATGATGAATTCTATGGGATCTAAATTCACAGAGCTCAGCCCCCATGGTCTCGCTGTAATTACCCAAATCCGCTCTCGCTTGTATCTATACTCCCTCATCACCTATTCTTTCCCTCCGCGGCGCTCAGTATCTCCTACCTAGGTATCGCTCTCTTGGAAACCTCTGCAGCTTAGAGAAAGAGTCCTATCTCTAGATGTTTTTTGTGATCCTCCCAATCTCGGTGCATTCCTCATATCTTGAAGCAAAGTAAACATAGCTGCTTGGCCCTAGCGTATGCCCTCAATCAGTTTTCTGGAAATTATTTAACGTTCTGTCTTGGTTTCTTTGTATTGTTCAAATGGGTGCTGTACTTATTGACATCTTTTCGCATTCTTAAGGATGCAGATGCGAGAGTCTGAAAAGAGTGGTTGACTGGTGTGGATGTTCTCCGTTAGTATTCACAAAGGAGCACACTCATAAATTTGCTGTGAAGGTATGCATTTTTTCTCGTCTTCATAACCTCTTAAATAGTGAGGAATCACCTCTTAGAACGCAGTTGCGAAACCGTTCTACTTTGCGAGGAAATTCGAGAGTCTGGTTGACATTGATGCTATTGCTTTGGCTGAAGAACAAGCGATGCGAGATAGGTGAATGCTGTACTATTGTTCAAATTTATCAAATAACTACTGGGCTTCACTTTTTACGCTTTTTCGGTTTTGATTGAGTTTTTGTTTAGATCGCCGCCCTCCTACACAAACGATGTGATGTTCAACGTTACCTTTGTGAATCACTACAAGGCTGACATTGACGGATACTGTATGTTCTTTCTTGAAGCTACTACAACATTTTCGCTGATATCCCACCTATGAACGTTTTAAGCTGTGCCTTTTTCGCTGATGGCTGAGTCGCTTCTTTCTGTTCACTCAGATGAATCAGATTTCATTTCCCTATCTAGGAT